AGACTCTATCAACCTTTAAAAAAATTCTTTAAAATAACAGCTGCCTTTTTAACTCAATAAGAATTAAAAAAAATAAAATAAAATTACCCGTTAAAAAATACGTAAAAAAAAAAAAAACAAAAAAAAACAGCTGCCTTTGAAATGAATATATGGCAAAGTGAGGAGCCAGCGCTGTCTGCATTGTTAGTGCCATTTCTTTTCTAGGCACCCGCATGCTAGAAGAGCTGTTGAAAAGGCAATATCAACAGAGTATCGAAGCTCCCTCTGTATTTATTCTTAGCATTCTCCACAGAAGGGCACCGTGATCTCTAGGTGACGACATCTATATTTCCTAAGTATTAGCCCTCTATGATATATGCTATTTTTATTCTATACCCTGGAGCCACAATGAAAACATGAGAAAAAATGTTTGTTTTTCTTTCATTCATTCTGAATCTCTTATTGCTTTTTGAAAGTAACAAAATTGGGAAAAACATAAAGAGCAATCAGAAGGATTCAGGTCTAAAATCTCATCTCATCCTCACTTAACTTTCTCTGAAGACTTCCTTAGTCTGTATGGTCTCTGGCTTCTTGTTGGCTTCAAAAATAGCTGATTCAAAGACTGATCGGAAACAAATCTCTTGTGTGCAGACCGCTCTACCCTCACCTGCACCAGAGGAGTGGTAGGAGCTGTTGATAGCTGACTTTTTTTACTTACTTCTTAAGAGTGGACCAGGCCCTGGGGCACTTGGAAAATTGAGTGTTTTCACTGTTTCCTTGGGTGTTAAAGTACCAGGTTCTTAATACAGAGAGTAATAGCAGTAAAATACTTGGGCAGTGTGGGGCAGAAGAACAGAGACAGTTAATCACGTATTTTAAATTTGGAAAGAAAGACCAGGCTATATAAAGGAAGAGAGAAGGCAGCAAAGTTAGGGAATAAAAGTTTAACACCGTCATTATTCTCAGTGATAGCACAGATGCCATGGATCAAAAAGACAAAGAAAGAGCACAACAGTTGGACTTAAGAACAACCATCCTTTCCACTGTTCTTATTCTGTGTATTTGGATCAAATGGGTAAATTTTAGGAGATGATGGCATGAGCAAGGTTTCAGGAAGTTATATTCCCACAGGTTTACTCACTGTCTATCTATCTATCTGTCTGTCTATCTATCTACTCTATTTTTCCATCCATCCCTCTCTCTTAGCAGGGCTATTGCATTGGTATTATATCCAGTGAAATCAAAGAGAATGTTTGTTGTATAATCACATCCTCTATCATTTGGGGCAAGGAGAAAGCCTGAATACATGCTTTTGGGTATTTGGTGATAATCATTTCAAATCATTTAAAATAGCTGTCTTTCACTCATGACCTAGAATGGTGAACTCCATGCCTGAATAATCCTAAAAGCTGTCTCTAAAATAATGTTTGTTTGTTTGTCTTTAGTATTTCCCTATTATTAAAAGACAAAACAAAGCCAGCACCACTTATAAGCCCCACAGAAATTCTCCTAGACATTTAAAATTGTTTGGTTTTACAATATTTATTTTTCCCCAGTTTTTTCCCCTGTATTTAGTCTTTTACAACTCTTTCTGTTGCTTACAGTATCACTTTGTTGTTTTTGTAGAAAGTTGACTCCATAGGGAGGGAGCTATGAAAGACTTTCTGGGACTTGAAAATTTGGTTTGAATCCCAGCTTTGTACTCAGTTTACATCTTTGAGCTTGGGTGATAGTTGAATCAGGCTGCAAAATAATCAGACCCAAGAAAAATGAAAAAGAGAAGTGTTTACAGATGTTTTCTAAGCCCAGTGCTAGATTGTTATGAGGCCTGCCTCACAGATGCTCACCTTGTGATCTAGGAGTGAAAATTATGACTGATAAACACATTTTTAATCAAATCATGTTAACTTGAACTTTAATCCACTTCTTAAAACAATTATCTTTAAACCAAATGGTTTTATGCAGCATCTCCACTTACCTACACGAGTGGCACAAGAAGGCTGGAATAAACAAGGCCACGTTGTTGTAAATATCCATCTTCTATCTCTCTAAATGAAGTTGCCTAAAGATTCTTCGTTATTCATTCCCTTAGAGTAAATACACTTCTGTGAATTTATGCACCACGTGCTTCAGCCTTCAGAGCCCCCTGGCTGCACCTTTGTGAGATGTAAGAAGTCTTTGGTCAAGGGTCGGGGGAGGGGATGACACTTGCTCAGGTATTTTCTTGAATTATCCCAAGTTGGGTGGAGATATTTTCTATTTCAGTTCATCCATCACTCTTAAAAAGCTGGGTGAAATTAAGTACTTTTTGTGACCTCAAAAAAGGCAACATGGATTTACAATCAATGGAGGTCAAAGCAGCTATAACAAAAATGGTCATGTATCTCAGTTAAATAGAGTGGCTTCTTACACTTTGTCTTTAGGCCCTCATTTTCATATACTTTGTAATCTTACCCAATTTTAGTTTAAAATGATTTTGCTATTTTAGCTTAAATTGGAAAGAAATAGACAAAATGGAAACAAAACAAAGCAAGTATAGGGCATTTGAAGTTCAGGAGAGGAAGTGTGGAGTGAGGAGAGGAGCTGACCCGATTCACAAACCATGTCAAAGTGGCCTGGACAGCAAGTGCTCTTCCCCTGGGAGATTAGTGCCACAACTGGCCATCCACTGTGGGGCTATTTCTCCATAGGGTATATAAATTTTGACATATCATACCTTGCTAGTGAATAAAATATAAAATCAAAGTACTTGTGTTTCCTTTTTAATTTTTATTTCACGCTATGAAAGTCAAGATTAGAAAAGGGTGGAGAGAGATTTCCTACTCATCATTATACCTTTATCTGTCCCATCCACCTCATGCTTATTCAATTCACATCCTTTCAATTGAAAATTAATAATTTGTTGAACATATGCTATGTGTCAGGCATGGCACTACGTGCAAGAAGAATTATAAAGACAAATAAGGTGTATTTTCTCCTGTCCTCAAGGAGTCTACAGTTTCAGGTGGAGCATCTTCCAGCAGACAGCTGGATACTAGGTACCTTAGGGTAAGTGCCCTAAGAGGTTCGTAAATGGAAGTTACTTTAGAAAGAGCTTGTGTTTGGGAAGGCTGGGGACCGTCACTCAGGTCACAGACCCAGCTACACAATATATGCCTCTTTTTCTTTTACTGTTGGTTGTCCTTAATGACAATGAACACAGGCACAGCTCACACATACAAGCTTCCCTTCTTTACCCCTTCCCTCTGCTCCTTGATCAGCTCCTTCCCTCTATCTCTTGACGGAAGGTTAAGGAGGGGTGGGTGGAGACCTGTAGCCAGCCACCCCACCATCTGACTCATAAGCAGTGACTAGAAAGGGAAGCAGATCTCCTCTCAGGGGTCTTTGGGTTCCATTAACACCCTGGATGGGCCTTTTTCCATCCCTGGGACCCAGCAGTTTGGACAGCAGGCCTCTGCTGACTCAGGCTGCATGAAAGAGGAGGTGCAGCACTTTCCTTGTTGGCCAGTTGCGGTTCACTGTGTGTAACAGGGGTCCTTGTCAGGCATCTCCAGCTATCTGTCCCTAGCTTCCTTCCAACCAATTGGTCATTTGTTAAAAAATGAAACCTAACCTTATATCATCATAACAAAATTTGGCGTTGTATTTGAGGGCCTCAGGCTATCTCTTAGGGTGGTTAATACTATGAACCATCTGAAAGGAGTCTCATTACATATGAAGTCAAACTAGTAGTGACGGGGCCAGAGCACTAAGGAGGCGTGTCTTGTAACTTCCATGTGGACCACACTGCACATAGACTATCACAACAAGGGAGAATTTCCAGTTCCTGATTTCAGTTTTTGTTTCGACTCCTTCCCTCATGGGCAAGTACCAGAGAGGTCCCTGGCAACGTCCCTCACTGGTAGCATTAGTCTCAAAGTAAAGTGATTGGTCAGAAGTTTTTCTTTTTTCTGTGATTTCTCCCAGATGGGTGAAGGTGCCAATGGAGGGTATAAACATATTCAAGACCAGAATGAAGAAAGAGGAACAGTGGGAGGCCTGGATCAATGCTCCCTGGAAAACTGAGAATTGACTGTAATTACAATGGATCAGAAAGGGGGCTCGCCTGTCTCTCAACTAGTTTGTTGTCAATTTTCCACTAAATCTTATTTAGGAAAATATATTAGTCTTTAAAGTTGAAGGAAAATGTTCTTTGTCTTCTGATGACTCCTGACATCTCTGTAGATGATGGTGTTATCCTTCTTAACACTCCTGTCCCTTTGGAGTCGTGCACAGGAGGGAACCCTCTCTGACTATAAGGCGTGATGACTTGCAGAGCATGCAGCACTTATGGGAAGCAATAAAATAGTGGGTTTTTGTTTGTTTGCTTGCTTTTTTGCAATTCTGTCCAAGCCCATTGAGGTTACGCGTTGTAGAGTTGGCCAGGTGATAAAAATCCAATATTGTGTATTTCCATTAACTTAGTCCTGTTTCCATCTTTGTCTTTTTCTCCCACCACCTCACTCTGGGTCCAGTAGAGAATTCAGATGATTTACTCATCTGCACAATGATTTCAGTTGGGACATGTCTTGCTTTAAATCTTTGAGAAGCTTCTGAGGGTGGGGCAAGAATTCTGATAGAGGAACATTGCTTTTGGTGTGGAAATGGTTGGGATTAGATGAAACTGATTTCTTCCAATCCACTGACCCCCGAGACAAATTGACCAGACCTGACAGTCACTATCATCCTGATTGCAAAATAAGGTGTCTTAATATCCTTCTTGCATGAACCAAATGTCTAATAATCTAGTTTAAAGCAACTATTAAGGTTTCAAATGTAACTGGTGTTTAAAATTCTCCACTGAGATTTTTCCTGAATGAATAGAATGATTGTGTTACAAAGGAGACAGCAATGACTAGTGTTGAAGTGTGTAATTGATCTCCCTTTTTTTTGTCCCTCAGATTTTCTTCTCAGACCTGGAGGGTGGAGAAGGGGGGGAAAGGCAGCATTGACACTTTTCTTTTTCTTCTTCTTTTTTTCAGATTCAGAAGAGTAAAAAACACCTCATATACAATAAAAGAGGCTGCCAATGTCTTGCATCATTTTAGCTGAGCTTCTGCATTCTCCTTCTTCCACAAAGACCCATATCTGGGGAAGGTGTACAACTCTCAAAAACAAGCCCCCACACTTGGCCTTCTCTCATGCCATCTCCTCGCAGGAGATGACTGTCTGGGAGCTGGTTTGAAGTCTTAGAACTCTGGGGAATTTCCCCCCAAGCAAACAAAACAGCTTCAGATTTTTGCACAAACAGAACAAAACATGAAGGGACTTCCTCAAAATCCTTTGCTAATGCCCTGACTTTCAAGGCACCTGTCTGGCCTCATGAGAATGGACATCCTGGATTTGCTGAGAGAGGCTTGAAAAAGCCACACACATAATAATTGCCATTTTATTACTGTCAATGTTTTTACTTTAAATGTTATTTTTGCACTGGCTGCTGATGGTGGATATAGCCATGCTGGCCTTCATTGCGGCTAAGATGATGATTCCAGCCTCTGGTTGTTCCTTTCCTGAGTCAGGAATATTCTTTTTCTCCAGTTTCCTTTCAGACTTAAAAATTGTTCTTATGCTTTTCTTTCCATTTATATACTATGAAATTCTTTTTGTTTTATAAAAAAGGAGATTTTCCTATAGGAATCTTTGTTTGATGCTTAATTTATCTGTGCGTTCATTAACATAAACCTGGATGTTTCAGCTGATGACCACATTGTTCAGGTGGGGAACCCAGTGTTTTCATTGGGTAGCATCCATAACTAAGTGGCTACTGAAATTTTTACCGCTGGCTGGTCCTCCTCTTTTGGATATCTGTGCTTTGATGTAATCACTCTTCTTTTTCTTCAGGGAAGTGCCAAGGGAATTAGTATCAGAGAGATATGCCAGATAATTATTTTCCTTTTAAGGAGCCTTTAGAAATACCAGATAGGAGATGATTAATAGCACAAATCAAAAATAAGAATAGTGAAACCAAGTCAAAAATGGGATCCAACGGAGTGCAAGTAAAGTAATTTTATGGGTCTAACTGGTGTGATTTGAATGAAACTAACTTTTAGAGTGTGGTTTTGGTTCACAAAGGAATCTTTGAGTCCTTCCCAAGGGTAAATCACATGAAAATGCTGGTGATGGAGTGGGATTAGTAACACGAAGAGGGAGAGCTGGATGCTAGGCTTAAGTGCATTCCCCATTTCAGATTTAATTTCTACATTAAAACAGCACAAAAATAAACATTTTAAAAATCCTCTCCTTCCTAAGGCAAAATGTCGGTATTTCTTCAGACAGAAAGGAGGAGAGTATGTGTATAATCTATAAGGCCTTTGCCTTGCTGAAATATTCCCCAACAGAAAGATCTCTGTTGTGTAGAATGCACAGTGATACGCTGATATTTGAACATGGTTCTTTACTCAGCTTTACATTTTGCCTGGTAATAACATGTATTTTTCTGTTGCTTCCCATGCTTTCCTAACAGTCATCACAGTAAATAACGTGGTCACACATTCAAATCAGGGGCCAACCAGGTCAAGTAAATGAGCAAAGCAAGCCATGGAATATCATAATTATTTGGATAAATGGCGATTCATAATAGGCCTTGGCATCAGTGAGGCAGTAGGGAGAGTGGGGACGCTGAGGAATTGGAGAGGGCGTGTGCTGTTGAAAAGGGGCAGTTGCTGATCAGCTACAGGATTAGGGCTCTGTAGGAATGGGGGTCCTAGATCTCTAGGATTTTATCTAAACTCTCTCCAAATTTTTAAATGTTGGAGACTAATTCAGAAATTTACAAACGCTGTACTAGTCAAAGAAAACATGCCTTTGACCTGCTTTCAATGCATGGGACATCAGTTTGCAAACTATGTACTGTGAGGTGGTATGGTTTTGTATAGGAATGAAATACAACTAGTCCATGTCAATTCTTGACCTTGGAACCAGAACATTTTACCTCATTTCTATTCTGTATTTTTTTATGTAGAGCTTTGCAGCCAGTCAAAATAAAAAGCCTACAGCTTCCCTTTTGTACTCTAACAAGCAAGACTAAACAATATTTTGAAAAGAAACAGGACTATAGCCATTTTTTTCCAGCACTAATAAAGATGGAAGTGTTTTTCATTTGCTTCAAGTCATTAATTAACTGAAAAAGAACGGGCAGAAAATTTCATTCAGTACCCAACTCTGCTTGGAACTTTCAGTGTGGAAAAACACGTAACTTATTTTTAAATTCTTAAAAAGTGTTTCGAAGGGACATTGAGTAAAAATGCAAAATTACTTTTTAACAATATAAAACAATGTATTATTATGTTATAAATCGATGCTGGAGTTGATGAACATTAAAATGATGATTCCAAGTCAGTAGTGACTGGAAGAACAATATTTCCAAAGCTCCAGCTCACTTGCTATGGTCTTTTTATTCTCTTGAAATAGCTCTTCCAAGTTGAGCAGCAATACGGGACACACTTTCTTCCACTGCACGGATTACGGCATCTCACTCTGTGTTACATTGTCAAAAGAAAGCAAGGGCTTATGCATCTGAATTAAGAATTGACCCGTATGTGGGGAAAGCAGTAGGGACATTCCCACTATTGACAAACCGCAAGTTCTATATGTCCCCAAGTGGAAAGTGACAAATGGAGTTGACTCTTGAGTTTGGGTCCCCATGTCTTCAAATAGCTCTACATCCAAGTTTTGTTGATGTGGTATGTTTTGGTTCTATAATGACCCTTCCATCGGGAGGTCTTCCATTTTTATTCACACCAACCTTTCTTGAGCTGTGAGCCATAATAGCTTATATCAGCAGACAAGAGGCTGATTTCTAACCCATTAAATTCAAATAGATTTTCTTCCATTCTCTACTTCATTCTTGGAGCTTTTAAAAACTATTGAAAACATCTGCCAGGATCCCACTAAGGACCTAATATACTTAAACAATAAAATGATATCTAAACATCCGAAAGCCAAAGAATAATCTAGTGCACCTGTACATTTCATTTGCAGAATTAAAGCCATTAATATTATATTTTCCATCTGGAAGCATGCTTTTACTCAATGTGAAAAGTAAAAAGTAGAGAGCAACTTTATCACAGGATCTGAGGCAGAGAGCAGACAAAATGATGGGACCAATTTTGTAATCCATATTTTGGGAGTAAGGATATGATCTCTTAGCATCACTTCTGTCATGAATCACTTTTCTTTATATAGATGACAGAAAGAAAGAATATATAGTATATTTTCTTCTATTCTTAACCTTTGAGCAGAGACTTACATGAAGGAAATGACTTCATAACATTCCCCATTGGGTATGGGGGAAAGCAAAAGAAAAAAAGCACAAAATCATTTTTTCATAACGAGATAGACAAGATTCTGAGTTTAAGCTTTTATATGTAGTATTAGGTCCAAAATAAAGGGGATTTAGGGAACTTTTTCTTTCCAATTGGAAATTTTATTCTGATTCCGAGATCCCAACACATCCCAACAGGAGTTGCGGCACTGGCTCACCACAGTGCCTGGCGCACAGTCGGCATTCAGGAAGCACATGCAGAATTGTCCGACTGAATTCCACCATCCACCTGTGAGTGCAAACAAGAAGTTCAAACTTACCTGAAAATATATTCAACATCTTCTGTAAGCCAAGCATATGGCTAAAGGCTTACGTTCTGTGTACCCGTGACACAAATAGTTTATCATAAGAGAGGGGAAATTGCAGGTAGTTTGGGGAAAATTGTCAGAGCCAAGCTTTTGAAAAATTAAAAAATTAAAATTTCTCTATAGCCTTTAGATTTAAGAAAAACTAAAAACCTCCCAAAACAAAACAGGATTTACCTGAAAATGCTCTTCCAACAGCGACGATGACATTAATCTATATGAAGTACCAATGGATTTGTTTATAATCCAAGTTGAAACATTTAGAATCCAAAATGGACTCTCTTGGAGCAAATAGTGCAGTGTGGGGAGTCATTGCTCCATTTTTCTCTTCCAGTATTATGGTCGGTATAGCTTTGAACCATGGCAAAATTGGACATTAAAGAACATAATGTTGCAATAATGATGTTAGAGTGGATCTTATGTGGTGAATAAATGGAAAGTAATACTTGTAATTCATCAACGGTCATCCATGGTTTATGGCCTCATTATCACTTAGAAAATGAACTTAATGAAAAAATTCTAATGAACAGCTCAATATTTCTAAGAAATATCTCTCTGAGGACCAAAAGACACATTGCCTGCCAAGACCAGATTTCAGTTGTTAAGATTTCTGCTCATCAAAGACACTGATGGGCACAGAGGTGACACTAGAATTGGAATGGTAATAGACCGCTCTGGGACATTAGACAGAGTTCATCTGATAAGTGAATTTGGGTCCGAGGAGGTTAGAAAAATGGGAAGCCATGCTCTGGATATCCTCATTGGACATTTGTAGAAGACTGGATGCTCTTCCAGGAAAGTCAGCTCTAAGCCAGTAGTGTTTCATTGAAAGAACATCTTCTTTTTACATTAAACAAGAGTGGGGTGCAGTGAAAGACTTGGACTAATAAATTCATGTAGTCAATTTAAAAATTATTAATTTATGGTTGTTTTAACTAATGTCCCCACCTAACCTATTTTGTTTTTAATATTGGCAGACATATTTGAAATGAATTTACAGTTATTCTGGCTTCTGTTCTCAGGTGGAAGTAGACTGACACTGGCAATGACTGGCTTCACTAAATCTGGGCAATCAGCCTGGATTGCCATCTGCTGAACCAGGGAAAGCAGGGGGTGTGTGTGGGCCCTTTCACCTCATTCAGGGCACGCTTACTCAGTCTCCCTTGGGGAGACCTCTCCTTCTCTGGGGTTAAATGCTGGCTGTAGTAGCCCAGCCAGTGCCATCATGGAGGCCCTCAGCTCTCGTCAGCCTCAGCCATGATTGAAGCTCACCCATGTATCTTCATGGGAGCTGGCTTCTGAACCAGGAGAAACATTTCTCTGTCAGGTGATGGTGCAGGATAACTCATTTAAAATAAAGCCTGCTAAAACTTAATGTCTAAGGAATGGCTTTTAAATAGATTGACCTGGAGGCACATCATTGTATAGCCTTTGCTTCTGTGTCACGATCTGTCTTGGAGTAGGTGTTTGTGTATTAGAGTCCTTGTCTTTGAGTGAGTATATGTGTACAGAAATATAGTTACACACCAGTATACATAGGTTTATAGTAAAAACCTACAGCCATAGGTAACATCCAGTAACTGATTCTAGAGATAGAACTGTAGTGTATACGTTTTCATTTCTTCTTGCTTTGATGATATTTTTATACAATTTTATATGCTGTAAAAATTTTTAAAAAAATATTTGCTATTTTCATTTGTAGAGCTTGGTTAGGTTTTTATCACCTCTGGTGCCCACTTTTCAGCCAGATTCCTCTCCCCACCTAATTTAAGAATCCTCTCCCTTTTTCATACCTTTTCTTTTGCCTTTCCCTTCTTTTTTTCTCGTTTTTGTACCTTTCACAAATCCCTTCCTTTGCCTCTGTTCAGGCAAGCCATTCTGCTTGCGGTATTATTTTAGCACATGGAAACACAAGATAATGGAAAAAACAAGAACACATTGTTCCAGTATAATCCACATGAGGAGATGTTGGGTGCCAAGGGTGGGGTATGGGTAGTTGGGGAGAAGGGAATAGATTAGGGAAAGGAGGCAAGCAAAAGGAAATCCTTATGGGAGATCAATTACCCAAAGCAAAGTGAATCACTTCGAGGCTAGTATAATGCTGTCATTATCTTCCTTCAGTGCAGAGCACAATTTTGCTGTCGCAGGGTTTTTCTCCTTAGGGTGCTGTGCCCTCACCATGGGTCTGTAGACTCTCTCCTAATAAGGGCACTGGCCATATGTCAATGGATAACTCAGCTTATCTCCTCAGCCTTAGATTTTGCTGCTGTTCAGGTGGATTTGGGGGAGATTTCTGGATTAATATAAAAAATGTTTAACAAGACTCAAAAGAGGGACAAGCAGAACCAAAATCCCAAATCTCAGTGCAAATCATGCCGAATAAGTAGTTTTTTGGAGGAATAAGGATGGAATTTCTGGATATGTTCTAAGAATGCTCTTCCAAAAGGGAAGATGGTAAAATGGACTTGTCTGTATTTCATGGCAGTGATAGAATGTACCTCCATGATGTGAAATATGTTTCTAGCAGATAAAATGCAGGTTGCAATTTGCATTTGTATATCATAGGGCAAGAGAATGACCATCCCTTCTGAAGAAGAGTGCTTGTTCCCTATGACGCTGATTTGTCCTAAAAGAAACTATTCAAATGCCATAGCATCACATCTCCAAATGCAAGAATAAATCATAGGAATTCGTGTAAAACAATATGCTAAACTGCTCTCAATAAATTACATATTTGTTGTAAATCTTTATTGCACAGATGAGGCTGACAGTGCCTCAATGTAATAATTTTCCCCCAGCATCTACTAATGAATAAGTACATGTATGTTCTTCTGATTACCAAATAAAAACAATGAATTAACCTCACTATTGGAATTTGAAAAATGAAAAGGCTGCTTTTTCTTTCTTTTAATGTTTTTCGTTGTCATCTATGTTCTGTCCCAAATATGGGGCGTCCAAACTCACTTGACCATGTGTCTCTCTTGTGTTCCTCCAAATGCCACATAATATCCAGGCACCAAGTGCCTTTGCCTGCACCTTGAAGATATACATGATGTATCGCGTCACATATAGTCTTTTCTGAGGGATGAGGTAGATGGGTTATTGGAAGCTCCTTAGAGGCATAAGAAATGTCAGTCTTATCATGGAACTTGACTGCCTTCCATATGTTCACTTTTCTTCTGGGTACCGTGATATTACAGTTTTACAGTCCTGCAAGGCTAGTTTTCAAATTCCAAACATTTTTTTCCTTCTCCTGCTCTCGAAAGGGCTACAGCAATATTTTCTCTCTCTCTAGCCTCGAACATAAGGAGTCTGACTAAGGAATAGTCATTCCCCCTGTTTGTGGGCACACAAGCAGTTGACTTACTGGATGGCACCCAGCCGGCCTCCTTCAAACCAGCCGCTAAGAGGGCCTCCCCTAGTGGCGATGATGCATATTACACAAATACCACCCTCTTATCCGGGCCACCTCTGTGTACTGTTCCTATGTAGTAACTCCACTGGATTATTACTCCGACAAAGGGGGCTGTGATGTTCCTCCCAAGCAGCTGTGTTTGCCATGCATTGAAACATGTTTTTTTAATTTTGTTTTTTTCTGAAAGCAAAGACTGAACTTACTCATTTTGAAAAATACAGAGAGGTATAATAAAATTAAAATCACTTATAACAGCCCATCTAATGATTATTCACTGCCAGTTCTTTACTGTATTTATTATGGTCTTTTGCTATGTATTTTTACACAGTTGAGGCCATACAGTACAGTAATTTAATTTTGTATTATGGTTTGTTCACATAACGTTGGATTGTAAGCATTGTCCCATTTTTAAAAAAAACTTTATTAATATAATTTCAGTACCAACATAATATTTTATTTTGTGGCTTTAGCACAGTTTACTTAACCACCTCTCTGCTGTTGGACAATTAAGTTACACACTTTTATTTTATTTTTTGCAGTTGCAAATAGCATAGGCCTGGAGCTCTTTGTACATAAGGCTTTGTCACATTTCTGAATACCTCCCCTGGAAAAATTCTTAGTTGTAGAATTACTGGGTCAAAGGTTGTGAACAGCATTTCGGACTCCTTGTTTATATGCCCAATTCCAAAGCATATTCAAATGTGAAAACAGCCATATTTAAATAGCATATAGTGTTGCATGTCTGAATAGCTCTTGTCTTTGTGATCGTTGTTCTTTGATAAACAGAGGTCAAGTCACAGAATAGCAAGCTTATTATTGATGGTAGTTGCGTTGTGGGGAAAAGTGTTATTAAACACTCTGAATACGCCACTCTAATTTAGCTGCTTTTGGGAAACAACACTGAGGGAAGTCCGGGTGGGTCTGAAGCCCTCCAAACTTTCAGTGATTCCACAGCCCCAAGCAGAATGTGAACTTCTTTGGATGCTCTTTTTTCAAGGCTGTAAAGAGGCAGAAATGATGATTTGTTCTGAGGCATCAGGCAACAGATTGTTGATCTCTGCCACACCCCAATCGAGACATAGAGAAGATGTTGGTAGAGGTGCTTAGCAGTCGTGATCAGAGGTTGTGGAGCTCATAAAGTCAGACGTTGCAATGTGCTAAAAGAAAGAGTGGAAAATGCCCAGTAGGGTGACAGACGCTTTCCCTACTTCACTCGTTCAGCTCTCATCTCTGCCTGTGGGATCTGCTTGTGTTATAACAGCATTGCTGTTGTTGGACCATTTCTAATGATGACACTTGGTCTCAAGGGCTCTTAAATCACCCTTTCCCAGTGGCTTGGGCTTGGCCATGGTAACCTTATGTTGCAGAAGGGAAATTATTTGTTTGAGGTCGAGCTGCAAATGACTTGGGTTTAGTGCTAACCTCACATCCTGAGTCTTCAGTGTGTGTATTTGCCCCAAGGTGGGCAGCTTTGGCTGTCGCCTCCATCACTGTCCTCTTCTCCAGACTCCTGATGAAGTGGATTCATTGCCCTTTAGCTGAACCAACCAAGGATGTTAATTTGAAATATCTGAAAGCTATTCTTTTGTGAAAATATACTTCTAGTCACACAAGCTGCCGGGATGACATTTCTGCCCCGAGCTGACTGATTGGGTTGTTTCCTCTTTGAGTATTCCCATGCCGTGGGTCAAGGACGATGTAATTTGTGACCTTAAAATGCTTATCTGCCAGGGATGACATATTAACTACTTTACACGCAGACACTCACATCACTTTCTTTTGAATATAAACTAACAAACACTTAGTTGCACTGCACAGTGTGCTAAGCACTTCCACATGTGCACTCTGACTTGATCCTCACAATTACGTCCTAAAACGAATGTTTTTAGACGTGAAGAAAACGGAGCTTAGCAATGTCAGCACTGAGGTAGTTGTTTATTGATGTTCTCATTTTCCCTTCCTCGTGTATAAAATATTTCCAAATTCCAAAATCACATACATTTAATCAATTTGTTTTTAAAAAATTAAGAAAGCAGGATAAAACCAGAGGCAGAAAGTAGAGCTGGTGTAGACAGAGCAAACCAGGGCAAATGTCACGCAGGCTCAACAGGCCTCCCTTGTCCCCGGTGTTAAGTCATAAATTGCTTCTGAGTTCCCTGGAAGCCTAAGTAAAAACAAAAAGAAAGTATTTACAAGATTCACGTCATCCAGGAGGATAAAGCACACCAGTGGCTCGGAAGAAAGGTCACTTCCCCCGATGCTGGAAGAAACGTCATCTACAGGCATTCACGGAGGGCGGTGCCTCTCACGCGTGGCTGCAGGTCACGTGTACCCGGGAACTTGAAAAATCCCCAGGCCTGGGCCCCACCCAGACAAATTAAACAGCAATTTTGGGGGAAGGGCCCAGGTATCAGCGTCGTTTCTTTAAAACTCCCCAGATGATCCTAATGTGCAGCCAGGATTGAAAAGCACTGACAGAGTGAATTCAGAGTCACTCACAGAGCAGCATCCCCCGTCAAGTTCTACAGTAAGTCCCAGAGCGAGTTATGTGTACCCCTAGGCGATCTGCCAGCATGAAACAGTAGGGGACAGTTTGGAAACTGATCCCGAGCTGGATCTTCCAGCTCAGTTTCTGATGTTTTCCCTGAGAATGGGAGCAAGGAAGGGGTAGGGTTTTAGAAAATGAAACTTGGGGGACTGGCCCCATGGCTGAGTGGTTAAGTTCTTGCGCTCCGCTGCAGGCGGCCCGGTGTTTCGTTGGTTTGAATCCTGGGCGTGAACATGGCACTGCTTATCAAACGACGCTGAGGCAGCGTCCCACATGCCACAACTAGAAGGACCCACAGTGAAGAATATACAACTATGTACTGGGGGGCTCTGGGGAGAAAAAGGAAAAAAAATAAAATCTTAAAAAAAAAAAAAAGAAAATGACACTTGGATTAAGTTGAATATTATACCCAAGAATGGAACTTTGAGTACAGTAATAGGTAATTTGGTGGCTGCGGAGTGGAAAATGATTTCAGGAACACCTCCTCAGTTAACAGGAGCCAGTGAGTGGCTGGCTCACTCAGAACCCCACCACCCCCAATGGTCCATGGTGCCGCCCGAAGGTCTGAGAAATCACAAACAGGTTTATTTTGTGTGTCTCCACCTGCTACCTGTTTGTGACACGATTAGGAGCGGCGTGGGTGGTTTCTCTTTGTCCTGAAATATTGGGCATTTCACCAAGCATACAGAGAAAATGACGGCATTTCTAGAGGGGCTCGCGGTTCTGTTCTTCCACTGACCCAATGGTGCCAGAAGTTCCTATCTCACTCAGTGTCTGCAGAGAAGATACCAAGGGGACGAAAAGCTGCCCCAAGGAAAAGCCATCAAGCTGCAGGCTTTTGGAAGATCATAGTAGGTGATTTTTTTTTTTTTTAAGATTTTATTGTTTCCTTTTTCTCCCCAAAGCCCCCCGGTACATAGTTGTGTATTCTTCGTTGTGGGTCCTTCTAGTTGTGGCATGTGGGACGCTGCCTCAGCGTGGTCTGATGAGCAGTGCCATGTCCGCGCCCAGGATTCGAACTGACGAAACACTGGGCCGCCTGCAGCGGAGCGCGCGAACTTAACCACTCGGCCACGGGGTGAGCCCCCATAGTAGGTGATTTTTTAAAAAATTGCACCAAGCCTTCCTGTGAAATGGGCTGGCACTAGTGAATGTTTCTGCAGGTGATGACACTGAAAGCTTGTAGTCACTGGGTCCTCTGCAGGTTTTAAGTGCTCGCATAGGCAACGTTAAAGTGATCGCTCAACTTCACAAGAGTATCCACGGAAAGCAGAGTGCCAGGTTTCCAATAGTTAGACAAGAAGAAGCAGAGCTCTGTCACACGAGGTTTGCCAAGCCCGTCTGAAGGTCAGGATCAGCTGGGGCCCTTGTGAAACATCCAGGCCCCTCCGGAGATGCTGGCTCACGGGGCCTTGGCCAGGCCAGGGGATCTGGTTTTGTTTTTCCTTTTTGTTAAAATAATTGTTCCAGGTTTTTCTTATCTTCAGGCAAGATGAAGCAGACCTGGATAATGGGTTGGTCAAGAAACAGCAAGAGTCATTGGGAAAAGTTTCTCTAGGTTTAAACTCTGAAGGATCTTGGCTTAAATTTTGCCCCCCAACACTCAGTAAGTTTGTGCAAATTACTTAAGCTCTCTTTGTCTACAAATTTTGTAAAATAGGAATAATTTTATCATCAGATAGTATCAGAAAATATAACTGATGTACATTTAATCGTCCATCCCTAACAAGGTGCCTATAAAACATAGTAACTGCTTGATGTGTGACAGTGGCTATTACTAATGACCAAGCAGTCAAATTGTGAATCACAGCTCTGAATGAAAAACTTAAACCCTACATCCATCCTAAAGCGATGGTTCTCAACTGAGGGCAATTTTGCTCCTAGGGGACATTTATCATTGTCTGGAGGACATTTTTGATT